GAGTACAGTTAATTGCTGGCTCAGCCGCTCAGCAAAGTGTTTGGGTCAGTCTTGCCTGCACAGTGCACTCTCCTTCCTTTTGCATCCAGCCGTGGAGAGGCATGAGGAGGATCACAGATTGGACAGGAGATGGGGAACAGAAAGGCAAGGGGCAACTTCCCCCAAATTTTGTGGAAAAAATTCCGAAAATACAAAATACTAGATATTCATGCAGAACCCACACAAGCAAAGGAAGAAAAGAAAAAAAAAGTGAAGTACCCAAGAAACAACAAAGTGCGAAAAGGGAATCCCTTCCTTTGATTTTGTCCAGGAGTCATTCTGCAGTCCTCTGCAGTTTGTAGCTGAGGCGGTTGTTCTTCTTTATCATTGCCCAACTTTTCAACAGCTTTTCCATTTTGCTTTCAGCTGATCGGGGGGTAAGGCCCCCCGGTGTCTCGATTGATCTGTAAATGTTTTCAGAAGCGATGCCGGCCCTGGTTCCCAGCACGTGATTCTCCCCACAACCTTTTCTTCAAATAAAAAAAGGACAAAAAAAAAAAAAGGAAAACAAAGAGCGAAAGAAATAGAACTGACGTCCTTCGGGACATCTGTTAAAATTGGAACGATACAGACAAGATTCGCATGGCCCCTGCACAAGGATGACACACATTAAAAAAAGAAAAAGAACAAAAAAACGGATGATGACAGATTCGCCGAACATGCACCAACTCATAAGGAGGCTGAACCGTCGACAAGCTGCGGAATCCCGACATTGATGCTTTGAGTCATGGACTCTTTTAACCCCTGTTGAAACAGGGCCATGTCCAGGGAACACCACAAACGTAACATGGTAGCATGTCAACGACTCAGCAAAGCACCAGGCAATGCTAACAGGGCACAGCCCAACTGCACAACGCCAAAGTTAACATGGCAAAGCCAACTGGCAGCAAGGCAACAACACTAGAGTGGACAAGCAGACTATCAAATGGTACAACAATGACAGACTGTTTCGTTGGTCTTGCACCGACTCAACTGGGAAGTTGGTGGGCTTATCGTGAGCTAGGTTGGGGCGGTTGGTGCATCTTTGGGTATTAGCTACAACTTGTATTCATTCAATCATTTCATTTCGGTTGAATTCTTGGACTTTCTTTCTAAACATTGTGACTTTTTTTTTTTAATCAAGTCTGAACACTCGACAATCCGTGGGAATCCCAATAATAAGGATGCTTTGAGTCATATGGACTCTTTTAACCCCTGTTTAAAGTGGATGGCAGCACAAGTGGAACATGGCAGCAACGCAACGACTCAGCGAAGCACCAGGCAACGCTAACAGGGCAGCCCAACTACACAGCGCCGAACCTTTTTTTTTTTTTTCCTGGAAGCGCCATAACTAGCTCCACGGAAAGACAGTGCAAGCGGATGAGCGGCAAGGCAAAAACACGGCGGCTACATCTACCTCTTTGCCAGACAACTTGGCAGCCACACTCAACGGCCTCAAAGAACCACACATGTACGAGAAGTGGCAACGCACACTCTACTGGAGAGTCGTGGAGACTCGGCCCTCCAACACTGTGGGCAATCTGGAAGAAAAGCTGCAAGCAGACAATTGTGTGAGGAGCAAGCCCTCAAGTGGCCCTATCAGACATCACATTGTTCTGGGCCAAGGCCCAAGCAAGCCAAGTGCCCGCCCTAAGTGAAGGCGGGCCTGAATATTCGTCACAGGCCAAATTCAACATTTCCATATGTGGGTATTCAGGCTCTTGCAGCGCGTCAGTTGGTTGAGTGAACGCGCGAGCCTCACTAAGCTGCGCCATGCAGTTGGCCCAGGCCTTGAAAGTTGTGCCTGGGCACCTATACACCAAAGCAGCGCCGATACATTGAGAAGCAGGCCGTCGGCCTTTGGAAAAGCAGTACAGCCGACGCACCTACCTGGGGGCCCTGCGCAGATGCAGCTAACAGCCCAAGTCCTGAGACTCAGGCCGCGCCCAACTGTAAAGGGCCCAGGCCCTCAACTGTAAGTCTCGGCC